TCAGGAAACAACTGATTTGTAAAGCATGCGAGCATCCAAGGTGGATTTGTGAAGAACAAATTATGTGGAGCTAAAAAGAAACAAAAATCCTCTCTTTGACAAAGTAGTTCAGTTTGCGGACAAGAGTGATGCAGTGGAGATATATATGAGTTTAGCCAAACTGTTGACGTTGGCTCAGCCTGATTGCCTCATAAATAAACTGGAAATATCTGGACTGGAAAGGAGCTATTCAACCTACTTTACAGGTGGTTGTTATGAGGATAAAATGGAGAGGAGAAGAACCTGGTTAGGCTACACTGAGTTCCTTGCAAGAGGAAGAAAGATGGGATATAAATGCAATGCAATGCAGCAGCAGTAGTAATGTTAATATTCCAGGGAGAGTGTTATCAATGGAACAGGGCTGCCTGTAATGTAATGACAACTAGCATTTCACAGCAGTCTTCCCTGCATCCAGTGTCATTGCACGGTATTTTTGGATTTCCTTGAAGGAGAGAGGACACACCCACTCGTGGCACATGAAGCAAAAGCAACCGCAGGTACTGCAAAGGACAGAATTAAGATTCCAAACACTCTTTGTGAATTGGAACACAAAGCCCTGGAATTAAAGTCAGCCATACTACTGAGGTGGGAGGCAGGGAGGACAAAAGCAGAGAAAATGGAGGGGAACCATCAGGTACAGAATTCCCTCATAAAGAAGGATCTGCACCACTGTAAGTTGTAAGCCTTGCTATATTTGGCAAGGGGGCAGAGATTGATCTGCATTTTTTAAATCCTGTCATGGGAAATATCCATGGTTCTTCATAATTCTTTTAATAAGAGAGCAGTCCCTGTCACCTCCCCTAGAAAGGAAATCCTGCTTCTCAGTCCTAAGGGTGGGGGGACAGGCTGCAGCTGCTCAGGGATAAAGAAAAGGCAATTCTGCACATGCTCAGAGATGCTTCAGGTATAGAGGTACAGGGGCACAAATGCAGAGCAGTTGCCTCATCTCTGTGTTCAAACTATAGTTAGTCCATGAAACTCACTCAATGGCTCTGGCAAGTCACTGCATTTCCATTGTAAAAGTAACAATTCTTCCTTGCATGCAAGCCCCAAGTCATGCCAGGGACAGATCTCCAGTTAATGTTAGAGAAGCCTTCCCCAAGCAGGTGCCCCGCAGATATGTTGGACTACAACTTTTGTCTTCCCCAAGAGCATGCACTGAGGATGATTGTACTCCAGCACTTCTGAAAGGTGCCAGGTTAGGGGAGAAGATTGCTTCATGAGAATGCACACAAAGATCAGCCAGCCTCCGGTTTGAGCACCGACTACTCAGTGCCGAGCTCGCTCCCAGCTCCATGGCATCTTTCCCAGTGGATGATGGACTAGCCTGATGCCAACACTCCTCTCCGCTCCCCACCCCATGTCTGTCTCTTCAGCTGGAGTGTCTTCTGCAGAGACATTTCAACCTCTGGATCGATCTCTCACCACACCCACCATTGGGAGCAATCATCTCCTTTTCCCACAGAAACCCCACCGGCCGCAGAACCCAGCATACAGCAGGAGGGATGGGAGGGTGGGAGGAAAGCAACACACTGGGGAGTCGCTCGCTGCCTTGCCCAAGACAGACGGAGAGTCACACACAGCCTTTATGGTTCCCACTCAGAGGGCACATTTTCAAAGCGCTTCTGGACAGGGCAGGTGGGCACCTAAGCCCTACAACCACGAGGTGCAAGCCATTTCAGCCCATATAGTGGCTGTGCTTACCCACCTCTATCACAGAGCCAGGCAGCTAGGACCAGATTCTCACCAAGGAGGTAGTCCTGTATCTGACATCACAACTGCAGACTACAGGTGTGGAAGGCACACATGCCTGAATACTCCTCCACACAAAAACCACGCCTCTTCTGGCAAGGAGATAGCTACCCTACACAATCCTTCTCCCTGACATACTAGCTTTCTATGTGCAGGGATCTGGGGGAGAGAGGAAAGTTCTTTCTGTGGATGAGTACAGACTTGCAGAGTACAGCTGGAGAGAAAGTTAGGCCTGAGAGAACAACATGAGCTACACAGTTGCTTCTGCACAGGCAAAAAAACAGTTTCTCCATTTTCACACTAAACCAAGGGAGGAAGCTTAGTTGTTGTTGTTTTTGTCTGTTTGTCTGTGTGATTCATTTATTTGATGTGCATCCCACCTTTCTACCAAGAAAAGAACAATTTGAGGTAGCTTAAAACTGCAGATAAATAAACATTTCATTAAAAAGCAGTAATAAAACAAATACATGTAAGTTGCAGTTAAAAACACAACAACAGAACAAGAACAGCATGCAGCCCAGGAAACCTGCTTGCATGCCAAATAATGCCTCCATGAAAAAAAGTCTCTGTTTGCCAGCAGAAGGAAAACAAGGAAGGAGCCAGCCGAGCCTCCCTTGGCAGGGAGTTCCACAGGCTGGGAGCAGCCACCAGGCAGCCCTCTCAGGCATCACTTCCAAACACATTTCAGAAAGCTGCAATGCCAAAAGACAGGGCTTTCCCGAAGATGTTTATACCCAGGCAGGCTCATATGCCTGCACTTGCTCTGAGTTAGGACAAGGCCTGAGTTTGAGAACAAGAAGAGGCAAATTAGTGAGGGAAGCTGAGCTCTCCTCCCAGTGTCATAGTTATCTGGCCACTGCCTTTCCCCACCAGCTCTCTTCTTTTCAGGTGCCCAGATGAGTTCCATGACAGCAGGGTAAGCTCTGGGCACAGTGGGGCTTCAGTCCCCCTCTCACTCACCTGTCCTCTGACACTTCATGGTTTAGGATGGCCACTTGGCCATGTGGGGCCCTCAGGCACACCTCCAACCAAGTGTGCCTTCTGGACCCCTCATGACCTCCTCCTTGTACCACCTCTCTTCCGCCGGTCGTTTCAGGCAGCCTGGGGATCCCCACTCTCCTTGGGCAAGGGAGTTGACAAGGGATTGCCATGGCAGAGGGAAAGGCTCTCCTGCTGTACAGGTGCAATGAGATCAGTGGCACCCAAGAGGAGTCGTGTCTGAAAGAGCCACAGCAGCTGCTGCAGTGGGAAAGAAGTGTGGCAGCCAAGACTTCTCCCCCACCTGCCCCTGCACCATTGCTGCAGCAGGAAATTAGTAGATTGGGATCCTCACAGAAATGGCTGCCCTGGGGGAGGAGAAGATGCTGGTGAAGGTGCACCCACAGCACCCCCATGGCAATTTACAGCAGTACTTGCAGACATTTTTTCAAAGGTGTCCATGGACTCCAAAGAGCTGCCCGCCCAAGCTCAGGATTGGTCTTCCCAATGGAACACGCTCTCCCATAAGTGTCTGCCTGATTGTTAAGGCCATCTTCAGAGGCTCCTCCCTAGGCACCACGGCCAATTCCCCATCTGTGGAATACCTTCCCAGGGAGATCCACCTGCTGTCCACATTGTGCACATTTAGATGTCTCTCTTCCAGCAGACCCTTACATTGTAATCTGTTGCTCTGATTATTAACTCTGCTCTTTAATATTGGTGTTGTTTAATATTTGGATATTTTGATAGTGCTAGAATGGAAGGGGGCAGTTTCATTCTGCAAACTTGGAGAAGCCCAGCTGCTGATGCTGGGGGAGGAGGGAATGCCAGCATTTTGGTCTGGCAACAGAGATCCTTTATCAGCCACTTATAAGGCAGTACATAAGGATTCAGGCTGGCTGGTACCAGGACAAAGCAAAGCCTCCTCTAGCAAAGATGCTGACTGGGAGAAAACCCTGTGCAGGGTTCTCTCCACAGTGCTGAAAAGACAATTACCTGCCCGCCTCCTGCGCTGTCCTTGGTACTGAACCTCGCCTACCGCCTGAAATTGTCATTGTAAGGAGGCAAGCAAGCAGAATCAGGAGGGCCACTGACCTTGGCAGGGAAGGGGCAAACAGGTAGAATTCATAACTCCTCATGAATCTAGAAAATTATAATTGTCTGGAGAAGATGAGGCACTGCATCCATCAATAACTGTGACATGATCCAGCGAGCAGGTTTCATCACAACCATAAATGGCATGGATGGCTTTTGTCTCTTATCTCCTACCCCATCTACAAAAAGAAGTGTGACTGCTCATCTCAGAAAATCATTGAAAGAGCTGCAAAAGGAAACAGGGTGAAGTTGTCTGCACACTGAATGTGCTACAGAAATTGGAAGGAATTGTAATAGCTTGCAAGATATCCACCCAAGGGGAGACTGTTTACAGTAGGGTGATGATAAAGATGGGCAGGAGATAGCCAACCCAATGTCCTTTCCAGTTAGGCTTAGCTATGCTTTGCTTTCCCATGGCTTTAGTTTTCTCCATTTCTACAGGTCCTGCTCACTCACTCAGCTGTGCTTCAAAGCAGTTGTTGTACTGATTGGCACATGCTGCTGTATACCTATGTTTGTTCTTTGCCATTTACTATCTGACGTGTCATGTCTGCCCATATTTGCCATTTCTTTTAGTGTGTACTATGTTGGTTTCTAGCCATGGATATGAACCTGAGATGAAGGTGAGGATTGGAGTCGCAAGGTAATAACGACTCTTAATTCTCTAGGCAACCTCTAAGGGGAAAACAGGGCATGAGGAGTACTCCATTGAAATGAACAGTTCACCTCTTTCCTTCCTTCCTTCTCTTCTCACTCAGTCTGCAAATGGTACTGTTCTTACCTGCACCAAAGTGGTTCAGGAGAAGGCAGGCAAACAGAACAAGATCGAGAACATTAGTGTAACATAAATGCAAAGCAAGGTGCCTTAGTGACAACAGGATCTATCATATCAATAGCAATGGTAGAGGAAACATAAGCTGCCCTGACCAAAAGCACATGTATGGGCACTCACATGGAGAGGTACACTATTTCATGAGTCCACGAGCCAAAAGTCAGCCCCAGAATGCATCATCATAGCCCTTCCCACGTAGGAAACGTGCCACACCTAGGCGCACAGGTCCGAGACAGTGGTGCATCCCACCCCACACCTTTCAAACCTCCTCCTTGAGAAAAATGGTCATGCCTGCACTACTCACAGCCTTCAGGAAACTCAATGGATGTGGCTGGATTGCAGAGAAGCAGAACCAGCGGCCAGAGCATCAGCAAAGGGGCCAGTGTGGAGGCCATCTCCCTTGGCAGCGTGGGCCCCGGCCGTTCACCAAACCTGGGCAGTAGCTCAGCAAGGGAGGAGCAAGTAGCATGCAACCCCCAGTGTGACTTGTGGCTGAATAGAGAAAGGGAGGGGGGAAGGGGAAAAGAGAGAGAGAGAGAGAGAGAGAGAGAGAGAGAGAGAGAGAGAGAGAGACACCATTAGCAAAAAAAACATCTGTGCAATCGTGCTTTCCCCCCTCCTCCCCCACAAAACATCCTCTCCCCAAGGACTCCTGCACAGACAGCAAAAAGGATCTGGAGGAAAGAAGAGAGTTAATGAAGTCATGTATGTATGTATGTATTTATGAAAACCATTCTTCACACCAATTTGTTGGAGGAATATACTGTGTGTACAAGTGGGTGAGTGACCAGCTCAGCATTTCCATCCCCACTGCTATTGAAAAGAAAAAAGAAAAGCTGGAGGAGGAGGAGGAGGAGGAGGAAAAAAACAGGGCATCCTTAAAGGGGAAGAAAAGCAAAATCAAGCATGACATGGGAGGATTCCAGGGAGGATTCACCCCATTGTGCATCTTCAGGGCAGCGGGAAAAGGCAGGTGGGCTTTTGTTATGGAAGGGAGGATAGGTCATGCGAAGGCAGAGCAGAGTGGGGCTGTGTGGGTGGGTGGGTAGGGAAAGGGTTATGGGAATGGGTGGCTGGAAAAAAGAAAGCAAGAGAGACAGAAGCAGGACCAGTGGCAAGAAATGGTGGATTGACAAATGAAGGGAGCAAAGAAAGGAGGGTGAGAAAGAAGAGTTAGACAGACTGGCTGACTGCTAAGATGGAGGAAAGGAAGAGAGTGGCCAGGGAATGAAAATAGGGAAAAAGACCAGAGTACATGTATAAATGGGAAAGAGAAAGCAGATACAAGGAAAACCAGAATTCTATTAGCTCACACTGGTACATTAACTCTGCATCAGCCAATTGTCAGTTTTCATATATCCGCTATCCTTCCCCACAGATATTTTTCATGAATGGGAAAAGTGTTTGGTTTTGTGCTTTTAAACCCTCTGCAATACAGCACAAGTCTCTGTGCTGCAGCCCTGCTATACTGCCGCTTTTAGAACAAGGCCATTAAGTCTTAAAGGTGAAGTCTCAGAATGGCTTGCCTCTAATAAGCCAGCACAACTGGTGATCCAACCAGTCAAACACAGCACCAGGGTGAGGAATGATGGAATTTGAAATGGAATGGAGCCTGGCACTTTATGCATGCATAAATAACCCTATGCATAAATGCTCTAACACTGAACCTTTGCATTCCCCCAAGCTGAATGAGAGAATGAGTAAACAACAGGAGCAAGAACAACATTGTCCAGAAATAAAAATCTGGGGTGCTGGCTAGCAGAACAGCAGCAGCTTCTAGTCTGGTCCAGAAACTGTGTCTGAGACAAGGCCTCACACAGCTCAGGGACATTCCTGGATGGTGGATATTATGCTAGAAGTCTCAGGTTACATAAGGTGTCTCCCAGGGACATCCCCCTCATTGTGTTATGCTCAGAGACCTCCAGCACAGCAAGTTATTGATGACATCAGCTCCTCTCTGCTCTGAGGACCTCAGAACATGCAGGTTGTTACAGCATGGCTTGGGGACATTGATGAGACATGCTCCGCTTCCCAGAGCATGCCTGGAGCATCTTGTGGAATCCATTCCAGAGTCTACAATCCACAGCGTTGTCTGAGCTGAGGCCAAACATCCCATTCAGGACACTGCCAAAACTACCTGGAGCAGAACCGAGCATCCTTGCTCATCCTCGGTGACTACAGAAGACCACTTTCTGATGCAACCACCATGGGCTTGTATCGGCCTCGGTCAGTCCACTCGCTGCCACCTGAAGACAGCTGTGGCCCTCCCCTGCTTCTCTGGCATGGGGGATCAGATGCAGAAGAAGAGTAACCCCCCTCCAACCCAGCAGAATAACACAGACGGAACAGCCCACCCAGTGGTTGAAAGAACAGCACACGATGGGCTAAGAGCTGCTCTGGCGCTCAACCATGGCACAGACGCAGTAAGAGGTCATTCTCCTAGGCTCCTCTAACCCGGAGGGGGGGAAATACGGTCTCTAGCCCTTACATTCCTCCACCACGTCCCCACTGACCGCTACCCCCCCATTTCCCTCCGGTGTCTCCCGTCTTCCTCTATTCATCTGGCAATTACCAAGCGAGGGGCTTATGTTGTTAGCACTGCAGGGGCCCAGCGAACTGCAGCCGGGATGCAGATGGAGCCAAGGGGCAGCTACAGGGAGCTGAATTATTTAAGAAGGGGGAGGGGGAAGGGAGCCTGCAACCTGTCAGCCAAGGCTTGTGGGGTGGGGGGAGGGAGAAAAGGGGAACCCCCACAGGGGACAAGTCATGATTCTGATTATACTGCCAAGGAAGGTCAAGGCAATGCATGTAAAAGTGGAAGGTGGGGAGAGAAAAAAGGAGGAACCATGGGTGGTGGAAAAAGGAGATGTTACTGAACATTTGCCTTATCAAATCATAGGAGAATAAGGCAGAAGGCCTATAGAAGACAGAATCAGACACAGGGTGGGGTGTGGATATGGGGAGAAATCTCGCTATTGTTTTTCCATTGCTTTCAAACACAAACAAAATTGGAGAGTTCATCATCTGGATTAACCACCTAAGCCAGGGGTCCTCAAACTTTTTCAACAGGGGGTCAGTTGACAGGTGCCAGCAGTGTGCACGGGCCGCCAAGGCATTGCCAGTGGGGGGGGGGCTGTGGGCCGGTGAGGGGGGCAGGAGGGCACGCAGGGCGAGGCGCTGGCTTGCTGTCAAGGAGATCGTTTTCTCCGAGTGTCCAAAACAACCTCCTCGCATGCAACCTGCATACCCGCACATGCCCCTGGCAAGTGCAAAACCTCTGGGGCAAGCCAGTTAAATGGGCATGGCAGCCGGATCCGGCCCGCAGGCCTTAGTTTGAGGACCCATGACCTAAGCCATGGGCTAAGAATGTGAGTCTGGCCTTAATGGAAGAGCCAACCTTTTCTTTGCAACAGCACTCAGTCAGAGGGAAGATCAGGAACTGGATGACAACTCCTCCCATCGATCGTGCCTACCAGCTGGAGAATGGTAGACTGTTTCTGTTCGTAAAGTTTCCATTTTATTTCATTTTATTTTTGTCATCCTGATGCTAATAGTCATCAATAGACCTGACTGCCATGAATGTAATCCTTTTAAAGAGACATTAAGCTAGGGGCCATTTGCTGTATCTTGCAGCAGTGAAATGTGTGCGGTAATTATGTGCTATGCGGAGAAGCACTTTCTTTAGTTAATCCTGAACCAATCGCCACTAAATTCCATTGGGTGACCCTACATTCTGGTATTATGAGAGGAAGGAAGCCTTAACTCCCTACCTGGAATAAGCTTCTTAGAAAGGTTCTGTGGCAGATATCTCAGGAGAAGGGGAAATAAAGGATCATCTGTCCCATGGAGCTAAAATAGCGCAGAACGCCACCCAGACTTGAACTTACAGCAGAAAACAGGAAGGAGCTCTTTCAGCAATTCTACCATACCTGGTATTGGCTTCTCCCAAAGGAATTCATTCCATTCATGACTAACAGAGCTGGGAACACTATGGACCTCTGGGGTTGATGAACTACTACTCCCATCATGCCACAGCTGGACAGTTGTTCATCAACATCTGGAAGGCTCCAGGTCCCCTGCTGGTGTGAGCAAAAGCGCTGTGCCAATGGCATCAGGTTTGGGATGAACTGGGTTGAACAGGCTGACCAGGCATTCCTTTCCGTCACTGCACATTTCTTTCAATCAGACCCCTCAGATCTGATGTTTTCTGAGGTTCGTCAATGTATAGCTCCCTCAGATTCTGCCCTCACCCCGTAGTTTTCACAGAAGACTCATGAGGCAGCAATCAGCACCTTGGACTTGCATGCAGATGCTCTGGTGGTGGGCATCCTGCCAACCAGAATGGCTAGCCAAGCTTGGCACCACTCTGGATAATAGCAGTGGCCACCGCCCACCTGAGCCCAGTGCATTGCCCAGCAGCAGATGGTTCAAGAGAGCAAGGGAGTGCCCGTCCACAAAAGTGGGCAGACAACATGCACAAGGGCATGTTCATGCATGGACTAACCTTCCCGGGCAGCTGCACCGCCTCAGCCTAAATTGCTCCAGATTAATCTACCCTTCCATCTTCAGGATATTCACATCGCAATGCTATGCCTGCTCACGGCACAGGGCACTCACACGAGTGCACATTCATTTCCGTGCACTGGAAAGCATCCCAGTGGATTAGCCCCTTCATGTTAGTCCATCAGAGGGAATGCATTTGTTTCTTTTACATTTCTTAATCACCCCATAGCTTACAACACCAACTGGATTTCGCTGCAAAAGAGGGAACATCCCACACCCATGAGCTCCAGGCTCAATCCTCCCATCTATTCACTCCGGTCTCTCCTCACAACCCCCCTCAGCATGCTTTTCCCTCACCTCAGCCCTCACTGCTTCTCCATGACCCAGCCCTGCCCCCAAATCCTCTGCCTTCCTCCCGCACCTTTTCTTAACCTTTTCATATTTCCTCTCCCTTGATAAAACAAACATCCTGGAAGCAGGAGAATTAATGAAGTAGGTGACAGGCCTTGTCAAAAGCCCCCTTAACAGGGGCTGGAAGTGGGGTGGGAATGTGTGGGGGATGGGCTGCAGGGATCCGATGGCAGGCTCTGTTCAAAGCATCCAGAGATGCTTCCGTGGATTACTTGTATATTGTGATGATTTCTCCCAGTGTATGGCAAATCCATTTGTGCCCCCACCCCCATTTCCCAAGACAGTCTTACTGACAATATTTCCAATAGCAATAAATATCCTTTTCACTAGAATGATCATCCAGCTCAAGAAATTTAAGTTGACTGATTAGTCATCTGCCCTTGGACCTAATTCAAGGATTAAGTGCTTGCACCAATTTATCGCCAGAATGTTGCCAAGATCTCAGACAGAACAAAATGGCAAATCAAATTAGGGGACAGCTCACAGCTCAGTGCTGGAGCACAATTTGAATGCAGAACATTCTCAGGTCAGTCCTCTGCAACTCCAGCAAAAGAATTGGAGGCAGCAGAGACACACGTGTGCAGAAGGCAGTGAGAATGGACTCACTTTCAGACTCGTAATTATTAAGCTGCTTCATTTGTACTAACAAATAAACAGAAGCTGCTGCTTACTGGAAGAAAATGTCATTTTTATTTTACTTTTAAATTCACTAGTTAAAAAAGAAACACACACATGAAGTGAGCCCTCAATTCTTAACTTCCATAAATTAAAATTTGCCCTTACCAGTTAATCAGCTAAAGCTTATGTTGATTCATTGATCAATTTAAAACCAGCAGTCCTGTTCTTTACTAATTTATTCCTTCCATCCTCCCTAATAGTCCTCACAGGATGTGGGTGGCCTCCTCTCACCCTTGAGAGGGCAGAAGTGGTGTCAGGGGGCAGGTCTACTGGGGTCAAAGCCCCAAATCTTCATTCAGAGCTCCACATTACTGGGGGCAGGAGGAGACATCTACCCCACACCCTGCTGTGCATGGGCACTTGCTGAATTAGCAGTCCGGGTGATTTCTGTTGCATCCGATCCTTCCAGATTAGGTAACTGTTTGACCACATGTGCTTCACCTTCTGCCGCCCCCTTTCGTCTTTCTCCTGGGACTTCTTCTGAAATCAAATGCCCTCCCCTTTTTATAGGGGTGTTCTTAGGAGCCAGGGCTCTTTAAAGACACTCACGTACACAAACACACACCGAGGAAGGAAGGGCGGGGGGGAGAGAGAGACAGTTTAGGGCATATATAAATTAGCACATACAAATTTGTGCCCCCCTTTTGTCCTGTGGGCCTGAGCCCTAGCTCTTTTAAGTGGCTAACGTTTTGCCTACACTATTCATAACGCTGCCTGCACTCCCCCCCCCCGCCCTCCATACACCTCTCCACGGCGAAATGGACTTGTCTCTCCCAACCATAAATCAGAGCTATTTCCCGATCTAATTTCCACCGCCCTTAAAAGCAGCCGGTCTACAGACCAACCTGATTCCCCCTAGAGGGCGGAGATCGCATCTCTTCTGCTGAGTTCCATCCAGCCGAGCCCCTCCAATCCTTCGGAATTAGCTGGATCTCTTGCGCTTTCATTTAGAGATTTATCTGTACCAGGAGCATTTAATAGGAAAGTGAAAGGCAAGGGGGATTAAGAGCTGCTTACTGCACAGCAATCGTGTTTTTCTGTAGTGGGATAAGGAAGGGCGGTGCTCAGAAATTCTCAAGGTGAGGTGAAACCCCCTTCTCACGCACACGCTCCACACACAACTATTGATCGCATCTTTCACAGACTTTTTGTGACGTTTATAACGTAGCACTAGGCATACTCGAGACCTTCACTATCTCAAACAAATTATGTGTTCACAATCCCTTGAATTGAGATTAAAGTGCCACAAGACTACTTGTTGCTGATACAAGATAAGCTCCCCCACCTCCCTTGGCTAATTTAAGGGCAATGTTTTCCTCGCACAATGAGAGTGCTCAAAGGATAGGTTTTCTTCCGTTTCCTTTTATCATCTGGAGAAGGGAAGTGGAGGAGGCTGCCCCCTAAGCTGCCCTCATAAGCAACAGTGGTTGAATTCATTAGCCTGGTAGACAAAGTGCAACTAACTACCTAGAGAGGTGGGTAAGCTCCACCCCACTGAAAGTCTTATCTGTTGGGATGCACCTGCTCTGGATTTGGCATCAAGCAGGGAGTTGGCTCCTAAGCACCCTTCCAACTCCATGACTGGAAAATTCCAGGATTCTTCCATTTTGTTCTATTATTATTATTATTATTATTATTATTATTATTATTTTGCATATATATTCTTTTTGCCTTCTTGGGAGGAACCCAAGGTGGCTTACATGGTTCCACTTTATCCTCACAGCAACTCTGTGATGTAGGTTGGGCTGAGAGTGAGTAGTTAGCTCAAAATCACCCAGTGAGTTTCATGGGCGAGTGGTTACGAGACCTGGATCTCCCAGCACCCCAGTCCAGCAATCCCCATCACCACCCTTCACCAGCCCCTTCTGTATAAGGGATAATCCCACTGTTTGCTGTCCAGATGCTGTATAAACAGATATCTCGATGGGCATTTATCCATTCAGATTTGACTTACTATCCAAGAACTGATACAAGTTTGTTGATTGTGGTTTGTTATATTTCTCCCAAGAGTTTAGGATTAGAGCTTGTCCCCTTTTATTCTCACAATCTGACCATAGCTAGGCTGGGGGAAAGTGGGATGGCCAAGAATTTGTACCCAGGGACTTCCCTTTCTGTTTCCAATACTTTTACATCCCAGCAACTCTCCTATATATCTGGGATACATATTTTTGTTTACACCCACACAATTTCAGGCTGCCATGCTCTGCTCATAGGCATTTAACACACAGCAGCTCTTGCTTAGGCAGGCTTCATTTTGAACTGCCATGTCAACTTACTTAATGAGAAGTATGTTCTACTGATGGAGGTAATTTGCTTCCTAACATCAAATCAAAGGCCTGGGAAGAGATCTGAATCTAGACAGATTTCATTCATAGGCTAAATTAATTTTCACACAGCTGTGACATGCAGTTCTATAATAGTGGCTTGGTCTTATCCATTCTCACACCAATCTTCCAAGGTAGGTTGCTCAGTTCCATTGCAGAGGTAAGCAAACTGAGGCTATCTAATAGTAAACCCTGAGAATAGGCTGTATTATGTAACATAGACTGTGTGGGCTCATGCACATTTATTTATTTATTTATTTTTCGATTTATATCCTGCCTTTTTCCTACAAAGGGCTCAAGGCAGCTTACATCTCCTCCTCCATCTTATCCTCACAACAACAACCCTGTGAGGTAGGTTGGGCTGAGAGTCTGTGACTGGCCCAAAGTCACCCCGTTGGCTCCATGGCTGAGCAGGGACTAGAACCCAGATCACCTGAGTCCCAGTCCCATGCTCTTAACCACTACGCCACACGAGCTGCTATTATAAAACTTCTAGAGAGCCCAGGGGTGTGAAACCAATTGTGCATGGGTTGGATCTAGTGTACCATCTTTCATCTGGTTTCCTCTCCTCAACCCTGCTAACTCTGTTCCCACAGCTCATCTTTTCTTTGCCTTTCGGCTGAGCTGTGGAGGTGGAATTGCACAAAAGGGGAGGTTTAAGCCAACAACAGTTCATGGATTATCAGAAGGCCATTTCCCTGCTCCAGTAACTCCAACTGTCTGGGGCTTGGATGACATAACAAATAATCAAAATGGCCCCCTGCATATGCTGCAGCCCACCAGAGCTTATTTAAAGACAGGGCGCTCTGATGATTGTGTGAACCTGGCCACTGAGAGGATACAAGTTGCCCAAGGCCAATCAGTGCATCCATAGCACAGCCTGGATTTATTTACGTTATTTAAATCCTGCTTTTCAGACAGTTATTGTTGCCAAAGCAGTGTACCTCTGTCAAGAAGAGCTAGGCTCTGCCAGCAGGCTTACAAACAGAAATGACAAAACAAACAATATATATAAATAAAGGGAATGGAGGGTAAAGGGAGTTCCACTTTGGAACGTGGATGTAAACTATATGTGGAGCTTTAAGAGCTGGTTGAGCCAGGCTGAACTCCCTCTGCTGGTATCCTCTCTTGAGCAGCGATCAATGGCTTTTGTTCCCTTGTCCAATGGAGAGGTCCACAGTGCTGCCACCCAGTTCACAGCACTGTAGTACATCACCTGATTTCTAAACTAAGAGGAGCTGCACTGGAGTATGCACCTTCTGCTCTGGCATCCCAGATGCACTGGGGCTGGTTGTCAGACACCCTTCACATATTCTCAGAAGTGCTCTTATTGTTTTTGAGGCAGAACCATGGCATACGAAGGACTTCCAAGAAATGACCATCGTATTACAAGTGTCCTCCCCACTCTTGCCAAGGCTTTCACTGCTGCTGGTACAGTTTGCTTCTCTCCCCACCCCACCCACTCTGGTTTAATCTTGGCAGTTTGTTTATATATAGCACTGTTAATATACAATGCACTGTTTATTAATTTTACATTCATTTGGATTTCCAAATAAGTGCTCACAGGAGTTAAACAATGCAGTGCAATTCTCAACGTGATTATTTATTTATTCTCTTCATTGCATTTTTATACCAGCCAATAGCCAAAGTGGTTTACAAAATAGAGCTTAAAACCTTAAAGAACATAGTGAAAAAACCCCCATCATAATCTAAACACACAGAACAGCTATAGACTAAAACCATAGTAGTCCATAGTGTTAAGATCCAAAAAGTACAGACACCAATTTTAGAACTGAAAGATGATATGTCCTGCAGAAATACACTGGCTTACACAGAAGTAATCCGTTCACTGAGCTCCTGGGGACCACTTCCCAGATGTAAGGGGGTCTGCAGAGCCATCCTACTGATTCACTTGGAAGAAAGTCCCACTGAATTCAAAGGAAATAGAGAAGTGAAACATTTCTTTTAGCCCTGGGGCCACCTTTTCTGAGAAGCTCTGACGGGAAGCATTCCAGTGGTGGGTGTGGCCAAAGGCAAAGGAGTGGAGTCCAAACCGCAAAATGGACCAGCATGTTTTTGGTTACAGCTCTTCTGCCCAGTCATTAAGCTCTAAGAGAGGCATTTCAGCCTTTCTGAATAGGGACAACCACTGGGAAACCACTAAACAACTGGAGGCCAAGGGAAAGGGCATATCATCTTCTTTGGAAGCCTAGGAGGCCGGGGTGGGATGCTAGAAAAGTTGGATGAGGTCTCAGGTGCCCCTCCCATGCCTAGTAAGCCTATTTGCAATTACAGTTATCACTTTCTTCAGGACACACATACCTGGTTCAAGACAGCACAACAGCCCACCATGGGTTAATTAACCCTTGGGGCACCATGGTGCAAAATCATAATGGTCTGTATTCATAATGGCCCAAGAGGTCCCTGCGTGGAGTTGCTAAAGCTTGTTGTGCTGCTCAAACACAGGCAACAGAGGTTATTTGAAAGTTAATCAATCCTCACCTAACCCAGGACCTGTTTTAGGGAGGCAATATGACAGCATGGAAGATTTTGCACCCCGCTGCCCATTCCTGTTGAAGGACCTTTGGGTGCTAGCAAAAAATACCAAGTTGAGCCCACAAGGCCAGTGTCTGCCCCCTTTGTTCTGGAGTGGTTTCTGCCCTCCCCTTCATAACCCCCAGGTCTCCTTAGGCCAGGGGTCTCAAACACAACTTACCTGGGGCCTGCTGGAAGTAGAGTTTGGGTGAGGCTGGGCCGCATCAAGTATTCCACCATTGGGTGGTGGTGGTGGGCCGCTCATCCTGCGGCCGGCCTGGGTGCCGCCGGCACTTTGAAGGCCGCAGGGCCCTTCCCCCATGCCCCACCTGTCCCGGCAATTGGCCTGTGGGCCGTGAGATTGAGACCCCTGCCTTAGGCTAAGAGTGGGTAAACTGCAGCCCTCCAGATGTTTTGACATACAAATCCCTCAAGTTTGGCTATCCTGGCTAAGGGTGATGGAAATTATTGGCCAAAACATCTGGAGAGTCACATGGCACCCACCCCAGCATTAGGCCATCAGGACTACTCCCATCAGTCTTTCAGTGCTCCTCGTAACTGACCGTATTCAGTAGGACTCTCTGTCCTCCCCATATTATACTTAAAGAACTGGGACTGAAGGAGAGCCATTGACTTGAAGGCAGCCTCAGAGCTAAATTTGGGCTTTGAAATGCCCTTGTTGTTCCCTGCTCCACAGCAGCTCTCATTTGGCACTGCCCATCAGAATATTCCTGGCTCATCGTGTTTCCACGGAGTCTGCTTTGCACACTACAGTAAGAAGCGTGGGATATTCCTGGGGCTGGCCCAAGTCTGGTGCCTGCATAAGAAAACCCAAATGTCATCCTCCTTCCTCCCTTATGGCTCAGTTTAGGGCATGCACCACCAGAAAGTTCTCTCACAGAAACCCCACTGAACCAAGCAGCAGCCGCACTTAAGCACAATCTTCCATTCTCCCTTTTGTTTCAGTGAGGCTGCCCCTGGATTGGCCCTGATCCATCATCAATGGCTGTTGCTAGCTGAGGGGATGGGTTTTCTAATCCTGCCTCTCAAGGCATTGTGCTGCCTCTTGGCAAGATGCTGCCCACCCCTCA